TAAGAGGGTGAAATTATTCTTTTCCGAAGGTGTAGGCTAAGGGCTGAGGATACGTTGTTAATTATACTGTGGGTAGGTTGGCCTGATTTTGCGTATACCTGAGGATTATTTGAAGTTGCCAAAACACACCTGGTGCACGTGACGACGACGAGCTGATCGGCTTCAGCTTTTGCCAGAAGATTTTTTTCGTTGTCGCATCTGAATAGAAAAATACCCATTCAGTAATAATAGTAATCATTTCAGATTTCGATGTTAAGCGATTATGAAAGGCTTCATGGAGCACATGCCACAAATGTTTCTGTATGGTACCGTCAGTTTAGAAGGCTTCTTTCTGAGAATGTAATAATAACTAACACAAGATGCAATATACCCGTCTTATGTAAAAACTAGTGAGTCAAGTTGAGCGGGAGGGCTGTGAGTGACACTTTGGGACGGTTGCGTTCTTGCCAGTGAGAATCCCACTCATCTATCTCATAAATAACTTCATGGCTACCCTGGGTACTGCAATGTGGAAGATAATCAAGGTGACATTAGGTTCAAGTTAGTTATCAAGAACGATGTGGTACCATAGTTTGTTCTCCCTATAGTGATCCCATTTTTGCTAAGTGGGAAAGCTCCGAAAACCGTGACCAGCTTGGTTTTGCAAGAAAGGGATTTTGTGCGTGGGAATGGGAATTTTGGTCATGCTTTCAATTACTTGAGTGCACTGCACCAAGATGGCTCCTAACCACGCTTAGGCCTTAAAGAAGCTTGCTACTTGAACTCACATGCTCTGACTGTTGAGTGTGGTACTAGTTGAGCCATGAGTGACCACTGATTTCATCATACCACGTCGATAATTTCGAGGATTATTTCCGTCTGGATTTCTCACCAATTCAATGATCTGAGAGTACAAATATTAGTCTGATCCATTTGTTAGTCCCTCAAAAAAAACCTAAATAGACAGAAGAAGTCGAACCTTGGGTACAAAAACCAAGCAGAGTGTCAAGGTTGTTGAGAATATGATGAAGAAACATGTTAGCGCAAACGCTTCGTTTACACGTTCCTAAACGAACAAAAGTGTTCTTCGCTATACATGGGAGGCTTTCAAGAACATTTCACTAATAGTTAGCTTCAACAGGTTGCACAATAAAGAACAAAAGTGAAACATAGTGTATTCAACATTCGGGAACGGTCGGTGTTCTCCAGTGCTTTCGGCGGGCCGATTTCCGATTTTTGTTAGAAATTACGGAAACATTTCAGGACATGTCAAACATACGTATAAATATTGTGGCCCATTAATGCCTGAGGTAATGATTCCATTGTCTCGAACAATTTTTTTAGCAATTATGCGCCAGTGAAGAGAAGGAAGCCCCATTTGTACTAGCGCGGACTCGATTCCTCAGTGAATTTGATTCAACTTTCCCAGTTATGGCAATGGTTGCGGTGGTTAAGACGTGCTTAAGGGGTTAAGAATTCGACCTAAAACGAGCGTAAACAAGCAATAGTGTCAATCATGAAAGCAGTGGATAATAACAATTGATCTTGACACGTGAGAGAAAAGAAGAAAAAAAAATTCACTGAGAACGCTGGATTGAGGGCTTATTCAATCTGGGACAGTAGGAGGTATTAGATGCAATCAGCCTAAGGATGGAGTTTCGAAGAGCAACTGAGAACAGCAAGTACAAAACGGTAGATGCAGCATGCTGTTGTTACTGATGCGTCGTGTCCGTGACAAAGCCTGAATGGTTTCATTTCATTGAATAGCACGAATCGGGTTGAATTGATGCGTTTATTTCTGCTTAAAAAATATTAGGCAAGGGGTGCTACCAGGAAATGAGAATAGTGAGGAGACAGCACGAAAGCACTCGGTAGAAACACTAAATTTCCTTACGAGGCTCAGCCGTTAGCCAAGGAACAAGCAGTACAGACGGAGAGAATGCTGTGTACTTGCGATATCTTGCTCTGGGGATGACTTTGCATTACACAGCGGTAAGAACCTGTGAGTATAAGGGAAAACGACGAGATAGTATTTCCGTCGCGCGGGAAGGTGCAGAGACCGCTGTTGCTTCGCACTTTTGAGTCGCGATATTGTCGTGTCTCCTGCCTTGGGGACCCCTCTTCTCACTCTAGAAGGGACAGGATCTATGGATATAATCCCTACACGTGCGTTCGTAAAATGCCCATTCCGCTGAGCAACCGTGGTTGTGAAATAGGCTATAAAGCCGGCGGTATGCAGACGTTGCGAAGCCTTTTTTGAGTTGGGTGGGATCGACCCATCCCCCATGCGCGGAAGTGCGCTCGAAAATGTTGACTTTGAGACACAAATGAATTGAGGGGAGATATGACCCGTGAACTGATCTAGGCTGCCCCACTTGTCCTTAAGCCTTTCCAACTGATTTTTTTGGTTCCCTTTCAAAAGCTCATTTACCACTGTTCGTGCCTATTGCAACATGTGCCAAATAAGACATAGTATTGCAAGATAAATTCTGCTAAAAGCAGGTTCTGCCAAAACTTTAAGGACAACAGAATCGATAGGTGTGAACAGTGAAGTTAATATTGAACTTATTAAACTGCTTCTGCAGACTTACAAACGAATCGACCATTTGCTTTCTAGTAGTAGCTGCTATTAATTCTTGCTAAGCATAAGTAAACCTTGACGTTGAACGTATGTTACTCAGTCAGGAAACATCACGAACAAACAATCGGTCTATTGGTTTCTGCACACAAAAAGTAAATTTGATGCCTTGAGTTTGAAGTTGGTCGAGACAGCGCAAGGGCTAAGACAACTCGGTAACAAAGTCAAAGGAACAAAAAGTACCGAACTAGACGTGCAATAGATCTGCGAATAGAGGAACATTTAGGGTGATCAAGAACATGAAAGGTAATCTTGAGGAGCAAAGGGCTGATTTGCTATAGTCTCTCTCCCTCTCTCTGTACATGAAGAGTACTGTACTTCGAATAGAGTTCACCTGTAAAATGACGCTGAATACTGTACCTCGAATAGAGTTCACCTGTAAAATGACGCTGATGGAGAGGCCAAGGATGCTCATCACAACCACATTGTACACACTCATTCCAATGTATTTGCTGTCGTTCAACGCCGGCACATTCACGTGTCTTGTGTTCCCAAGCAAGGAAGCAACCGAGTATCTGAGACATTGCTCATACATCAATGTGATTTTAGATATCAATCTTAGGTGTATACTTACCATCAATATTCCTTTAGTAGCATATAAAACTGCCTGGAACACTGCTGAGTGATTTGACTCACACTTCTCGATTTCCGGTATCACAACTCTATCGTCGAAGTGCTGAACATGATGAGATTACAGATTGCAGATAAAAAAGTGGCATTCTTCAAAAGACATTTTTCAAAGGGATCGTCCACAGAAAAATCATGACTCACCCATAAAAAAATCTATCTCACCCATAAATCACTGGCATGGGACCCATCATTCATGACTAGAGTGGGAAAAAGGAAAAATTGTGTTTGTTTTCGCCGATTAGAAAAAGCCAAACCAACACGCGTTCAAATTCTCACCGTACATCTGTCACAAATGTTGGCGACGGGAATAATTCCACTTGGTTCCCAGAGTGCCTTCACTAGAACTCTTTCTGGCCTTTCCACCATGGCATAACATTCTATTTTCTACTGCATCCTATTCTATCGATCACTTTGTCTCTATTCTCCAAATTGAACGCTCACCCGATTCTTTCAATGCGTCGCCGATACGTAGCTGCCCCAAGGCGCTTTTCTTTCCATGCCCCGCCTTTGGCTCCGCGCCGACTTACCTTCGACCGTCCATAGAGTGTAGTTTTTGTAGTTTGTTTCTCTTCGGAAACTGAATCTTCATGCGTGAAACTTTGTATGTTGTCTCTAGTGATCACAACTGACATATGCGTGTTGAAAAAGAATGCAAGAATTTTCTGGGTACCATTCCTTTAAGTTCCCAATAATTGACGCTCCCATGTGCGTTTGATTACATAGGCGGTAGCCCATAATGTTACCACCAGCTCCCATAAAATGCTGAACAACTAACCAGTTGCGGTAGCTCCATGACGGACATGCGGAATGGAGAAATGACAGCCCATAGTGTTAGCACCAGTATGTCGACGAACAGCAAGCCGGCCAAGATCAGCAGAAGCTTCGAATCCTTAAAAAGTACTTGAAAAATGAGCTGAGCAAATTGCGAGCACACACTCAGCGTACAGCGAGTTTCACATCTTCCGGAATCTTCTACCTTTTTTTGAGTGCAGCAGGGTGGTCAGAGCGAAAACCCACGCAGAGATGAATATAATCTTGTTACTTTAGACGCTGTCGTTAGCAATCATTCCCTAACAGAGTTCTAAGCTCACAAATTTTCATTTTAGCCATGGACACTGAGAAGTATTGGGCTCTAAACAGTCCATGTAGCAGTCCATTAGCAATTTGCGCCACGTAGTCATCTCTTCTACTAAGTGTACCTCGAGCTTGCCAAGCCTTTCTAGGCAGTGAACTGCAGAGTCTGGAAACAATGAAGAAGATCTCCGATTGTTTCTCACTACTAGCGGCCACATCATGAAGCGTCGACGTTGCACCAAGAAATGGGTTGGCATGGATATGGCAATTTTCAGATCATTAGAGGGATATTAATGAGATTACACAACAGCTTGAGGAATTTAAGTGAAGGTTCAAGGCCACCATCTAGATAATCGGTGTGATCCTATAGGGGAAAGATGGGTAATACAGAGGACCGTTGAAGCGTGGATGGCTCGAGTGGGTTAAGACGCCCTTAGATAGCAAACCTCTTTACCTGATGCGCTAGCTCTGCCAAATCCACCAATTTCCCATATTCTATTTACAAACAATATCTACAAGTAATTACGTAGTAGAAATCGCAAACCTTGATTGCTTTTCTGTCCATTCTAATGTTTGTGAATATTGAATGTACTCGCCATGTCTTTGAAAACATTGCACCAAAGGCGAGCGTGAAGCCCAGACATAAGTTCCACGATTTTACCTGAAACACACTGAGTGATAAAAGCTTGACTATTTCTACTTGAGCCTTCAACGTTGTCTTATAATTATTCCGGGAGTACAATGGAAACTTGACAAAGTTACCAATTTTCAAATTACGCGCTTATTTCTTGCGCATTTTCCATCCAGAAAAAAACTTGGAGGCGTGAAGCATTCGCCATCGATTCGCGTCTCAATATTCGATGAGTCATTCAGATGTATAATTTTTTCGTGGTTTTTGCGAGGTCCGAACGGGGTGAGGAGATCTCTTTAGCAATGTAGCTTTGCAAACTATGCTACGAATCGTACGATGCCGCTGCGATTTGATTAATACCGTGCGACGAATCGCTGCGGTCATTGGAAATCGCTGGTGCATTATCGGAATCATTGGCGCATCCCTCGACCTGTTCGATTCGTAGCGGTTGTTCGCAAAGTCTGAAAATTGCCTTACAACAGGCGCTTCGAAGGCGGTGAAGCGCTAGTGGCTTCTACTGAAGGTACCACTTGAACTTGTATGTGTACAAGTCTGGACGAGAATTAATCAATAAGACTGTCAGTTTCTCGCTTGTACTGTTTTCCTTTTACATCTTTACACAGATCAGTCATAGCAGGTTCAATTTTCACTGATTTTGGGCGATACGTGACTTGGAGGTTATGAGGGCTTGATGTCACGGTATTTGTAAAGAAAAGAAGTTAACTAAGGCAAAGGTTTCGGAATAGCACCGTCAAATAATCCGTGAGATAAGCTTAAACTGCCCTTACTTCATTAAAAACTCCAAGGGGATTTATGTACTATCTAATCAATCGCCGCACTCTGGGTTTTCTGATCAAACAAGAACTTCGAACGTTTTTCTTACTTTGAAAAACAAGTTCTTGGTAACCAGAGAACCCTGCGTTGCGCAGTTCGCAACGGCACGTTGAGAGATCCTCAACGCACGCTGTATGGGCGGAGACAGACGGCTCGAGCATGCGAGTGTGAATGTTCGCGCGAGAGAACGTGTCTAATCGGGCGAAACTGCGCAACGTGGCCGTTGAAAACTGCGCAACGCAGGGTTGACTCTGCTAACCACCTCTATATCTGCCTTTTGAAAGTTTGCAGAAGAAAAAGGTGATTGCTCACATAGCATAGTTTGACGAAATTTTCATTCGAGAGAATGCGAGTGTCGATGCCGAGCAGCACACACCGACGCGAACGTGCACATTGAACCGACAATGATCAGATTGTTCAAATTTGGTGAAGACATTTTGATGAACCTAAACATCGATGAGATTAGGAGCGTACCGTGAGCCGAGCTGAACAAGGTGCTGTAGCAAAGCTCCGGCTTAATAGTCCTTTACTTTTTTTATATTTCATGTTGCTTTAAAGGAGGAATTCACGATTAGAATGAAGGTCGAAGAAAGGGAAACTGACCTAGTTGAGGGACCCACGGACCTCCTGAGGGTGCGAACTGACGCGCAATTCGCATGGAAAAATTTGACCTCGGCGACCTATCATGCCTCAAAGCTGGCGGGTCCGGCGATCTCCGCCCACCGATCATCTGATCACTCGCCGTAGTTCAATACGTGGCGAGTGATTAGATAGCTGAGAGAGCGTAGTGTTGAAGAGGGCACAGCGATGAGAGTCGCATCAATGCTCAATCAAGGAAGGGGTCCCATTTCTCGGGTTCTGGGCCGTTTCTCATGGTTCTTCCTTCTTTCGTGTACCACTCACCATCCCTAGGTTAATTTGAAATGGGTTGCTTTTTCATCGTGAATTCGTCCTTTAATCTGTTGACGCTATCGTTGTGGATGCATGTTGGATCAGCTGACGAAATTCATACCTGTGGTTACGATATCTGATGTTGACAAACAGAAAGATGAAAGCAAGTGAGATGCCAATGAGTGCGAGAAACGACATCACGACGAAGAGCAAGTTGGATATGTACTCGCGTCTTCGTTCAATTACGGTAGCATCAAGTGGTGGCTCCCAGCCTGAAAAGCGGGAACTGTAGAGCATTGCCTATGCAAGCTATTACCATCACATATCATTCTGTTATGGGAAGAAGTGGTGTAATAACAATGGGCGCTGCTCGTCATGCGCGCGGTGTGAAGATCAAGTCCTGGATCATACGCCATACAGGTCAACCAATTTTCCATCTCGCGGGGATCGGTCTTGGTACCAGCCATGTCAGGGAGGATGATAGCAGATTCCACTGCGTGGCCCCACAATTTACCGTGTAGGCCGAATCGCGTTCATTGATTCATGTTGACTCGGATGGATTTGGGAATTTAGCGCCTGGGTAGCAAATTTGGGTGGATTGAGTTGATCTTCAAGAGTCGTGTGCAACAGTACCCGGCCGGTATGGGTCCCAAAACTGTACTTCGGGACGCATCCCCCTGTTCTTAACTCCGATTGTCTGCGTCATTGACCGTAGTAAAGGAGCAGGAATTTGAGGACGCAATCCGGCCGGGTACTGCTGCACACGGCCCCAGAGTCAAGTTCATTTTGTTAAGACGTACGTATGAAATAATTGACTTCTAGAAGGAACGAATTTCGATAACTTTGGAAACCTGACGTGAAATAGCTTCCTTCTGTGGATAACACACCAGAATTCGTCAGAGTTTGGTAGGGTACCCACTTTGACGCTAGTCTCCATTTCAATGTGCAAAGTTCGACGTATGGTTGCACATAAATGAGTAAACCGTCCCCTTGATGCGCCCGACATCGGGTCCGTCCGAATTGGCATTGGTGTTTTTTTTGCATTTGAACTACACATTGTCTTAGCGGAACCAGTCAGTGCACAATTAAATGCTATCGGCTAATTGACTTCGGAAGGTAGGAAGGTATGGTCGCCCTAA